CAAACTTGATGAACAAATTGTGTAAAATTGTCTTTAAAGGGCAATATCTCCTTAAGGGGTCAATTGACAATTATGGTCATATTAACTTTTTTGTAGATCTTACTTTGTTGAACATTATTGCTGCTTACAGTTTATATATATATCTATAATAATATTCAAAATAATAACAAAAAACTGCAAATTTTTTTTAAAACTACCAATTCGGTGGCAGCAACCCAACAATAGGTTGTTCGATTCGTCTGAAAATTTCAGAGCTGATAGATCTTGACCAACTGAACAATTTTACCCCGTCACATTTGCTATAAAAGCTTTAGTTTTTGAGATATAAGCAAAAAACTGCATTTGACCCATATGTTCTATTTTTAGCCATGGCGGCCATGTTTGTCGATGGATCAAAACTTCGGATACAATTTATAAACTAAATACCCTAAGGAACATTTAGTTAAAGTTTGAAGATATTTGGCCCAGTAGTTTCAGAGGAGAAGATTTTTGAAATAGTTTAAGACGACAGACGACGACAGACGACTACAGACGACGACGACTGACGACGACGACAGACGACGGACGACGACGGACGCCAAGTGATGGCATAAGCTCACATGGGGCCCTTCGGGCCCCGGTAAGCTAAAAAAGGGGGGTGGGATTTTCCAGTTTTCGGACAATAACTCAAAAATGTTGTCAGCAATTCTCATGAAACTTTGGTGAATTGTTTATATCTATTGATGTAAGCTCCCTTTTGATTTTCATAAATTTCTAATATGACATTGAGAATTAATTGAACTTTATTTGTTTATAGTCTGACAGCAGATTTACTAAGTATTGCGCAACAGCACATTGTATTGCACAGCAGCAAAAAATCTTTAATTGAATATAAATTCAATTCATATAACCAATTTCAAGTTCTTTGACTACATTTATTCAGAAACCTATGATATGTCAAATATTTAATTACAGTCCAAATTCTGACCTGTATCAATTTTGAATATTGTGTCCATTTTTGCCCAAACTGTTCAGGGTTGGACCTCTGCGGGCGTATCCAGCTGCGCTCAGCGAAGCAGTTTATTATAAAGGGACGTAACACCACTACTAACCGTGTATGAAATAAGCCCCGCCTCCCTACTAACCTAATATGGAATATACACGGTCTCCACGCGGACGCTTTGAACCAATCATATTCCTAGAAATGTATAGGAGGTAAGATAATATATGATACGAGTATGTTGAGGTTTATAGTCAAACATATTATATATAATAAATATTTATTAAAAAGGGTCCAAGGATGGAGACTTGCGGTACCCCTTTAATATATCAAGCATACCACTACTTCTTCCTAGCTTAGGAATGGATTCATATTGGAATGTAATAGTCCACTTAAATGTTGGTTTACTTTCATGCACTGGTGATTAATCAAAATCATGGTGGTGTCAAAGGGTGATTTATACATGTATTTTTAAAGACGATATATGTTAATCCTTTGTTTATATAAAAAAGAAGATGTGGTATGATTGCCAATGAGACAGCTCTCCACAAGAGACCAAATGACACAGGAATTAACAACTATAGGTCACCGTACGGCCTTCAACAATGAACAAAGCCCATACCGCATATAGTCACCTATAAAAGACCCCGAAATGACAAATGTAAAACAATTCAACCGAGAAAACTAATTTTAAGAATATACAAGTTCCCCTGCATGATTTATTTAATTAAGAATTGAATTTTAAGTGGGGTATATAAAAATATTTCTATTCATATTCATATGCATAAAGCCTAAACACCATAAATAATCATATTATTCATACATGTATATATATAAATATAACGCAAACCAACCCAATACCCCATGGCCACTGGTCATGAAATATCCAACCAACCATCCATCCGTCAATCAATTTTCACTTCAAACATTTTGAATTGTAATGCAATATTTTGCAGTTTTGAGATGTAAAAACATGCCTTTAGTAACTTTTCCCAGGTTAGCTCATATTTTTTTATTAGAGTTCAATGTTTCATCTCATTAATTCAACAAAGAAACTGATTGCGCAAATTTAGAGCTAAGAAGTCCTAAGAATTCAATAAAAGAAGATAGGATGACTTTTTCACTTATATACTTATATAAATATATTAATATTACTTCTTCAAGTAAACAAAAAAAACTTGTACAAGTAGTACCCCTGACTGTATGTAAAGTCTGCATGAATAACTAGAATGTCCATGTTGACTAATAACTTAACCTTTTTCAGATTTAAAGTTAAATTGTTAGAACAATGAATGAAAAAAGGAAGGCTTATAAAAGAAAGTGGATGCAAGGTGCACGTGCTCTAAAGAAAAGTTACAATCAAGAAGCTCATTTTGAATATGAGGAAGAAAGACAGAGAACATTTATTCTAAATAGCCAAGAGCAAAGTTGCAGTACATCAAATTATGGAACTGTTAAAAATGAGACTGATGATGAACAGGGATTTGAAGAATCCGATATAATCTTTCGGAACACTTCAGAAACATGTGTTGTCAATGATTCCGAATGGGACTCAATTGACCAACATGTCATTATAGCCTCAGATTCAGAAGATGAGTCAGAAAGTCTAGAAAAACCATCTTTATGTGAAGATTTAACAACATGGGTAAACCAAAATAATCTCTCACATAATGCAACAGACCAGTTGCTAAAACGGCTGAAGGGTCATGGTTTAGATCAGCTTCCATCTACTGCGATATCACTGTTGAAGACCAAACGAAATGTTGAAGTCATTACAAAAGCCGGAATGGAATACTTTTATTTTGGACTAGAAAGAGAGCTTGTCAATAATTTAGAAAAAATTCCAAGCAATGAACTTGAAAATGTCTGTGAAATAGTGGTTAGCTTTAATATTGAGGGGCTTCCATTATTTAAGAGCACACGCATTTCACTTTGGCCAATATTGTGTGGAATGTATTTTGAGTCGTATTCAGTGCAAGTATTTCAAGTAGCATTATGTTTAGGACATAGCAAGCCCGATAATTTAAACTTTCTTGATGACTTTATCGAAGAACTAAATAGACTCAAGCAACATGGATTTTTTTTTCAAAGAAAAGAATATCAAAGTAAAAATATGTGCTTTCATTTGTGATGCTCCTGCCAAAGCTATGATCAAAGGTATCAAACTCTACTCGGGTTATTTTGGTTGTGACAAATGCACTCAAACTGGCGTATGGAATGGTTGTATTACCTATCAGGAAATAGATGACATTGAGCTCCGAACAGACATCAAGCACAAACTAAACATCATCATCGAATAACCCCCCTTACACAACTACCAATAGACATGATAAAATCATTTCCCATAAATGATATGCATCAGGCTTGTTTGGGTGTCATGAAGAGGCTTTTGATTCTCTTGTTAAGAGGAAAACGTGACATTAAAATCTCAGCAAATCATAAAGATGAGATCAGTAGAAACTTGATCCAACTAAGGAAGTTTATTCCTAGTCTGTTTGACAGGAAACCACGAACGCTTCATGAAGTTGATCGATGGAAGGCCACAGAATATAGGCAATTCCTTTTGTATACAGGGAAAATTCTACTTAAGTCTGTTTTGAAACCAGAATTGTATTCACATTTAAGCGTAGCCATCAATATTTTAATTTCACCTCAGTTATGCAGACCACATCTGAATTATGCCAGAGAATTGTTGAAATTGTTCATATCCAAAGGTCGAACATTATATGGACCAGAATTTTTAGTATACAATGTGCACAGTTTGGTGCATATAGGTGAAGATGTTGAAGAACATGGACATCTAGACTTATTTTGCGCCTTTCCATTTGAAAACTATATGCAAAAGCTAAAAAAAATTGTACATTCAGGAAAAAGTCCACTTGTACAAATTGTGAAAAGAGTGTTCGAGATGGAAAATACAAGTAATTGCCAACTTGCTAATTTGATAAAAAAAAAAGTGACTCATAAAAGACCAAATAATGGTTTCGTTTTGACTGATCAGTCATGCTGTGAAATTGTTCAAAAAACTAACCAAGAAGACGACGAGGGATATGAGATGTTCTTGTGTAGGGTGTATAGACGACCAACATACTTGTTTCAACAACCTTGTGATTCAAGATTGATCGGAGTGATGAAATGTCATCGGCAACATTCTGTGATGAAAAGAATTTCAAGAAAAATTTTCACAGACAGGCCATCATGATTCCAAATGATCACAACATTGTATTTCCAGCAGTACTGCATGATTTGTAAGTTTGATTGCATGTATGTAATTCAGTGTTAAAGGCAACTTACAAGTTAATGCACTATGAATCATACATACTACAGTCTGTGTAAACATTTTACGGGTAGAACACATTAATTTACATGTACATTTCCAAAAATAAGAGCCACAAGAATTTAGTCATGTGAATAAGTTTTGCACGAAAACAATTGATCTGCACTGTGCACGTTTTTGTCGAATGTTCTCAATACACATTGTATATGCAATCTCCTGTACACTTTAGATTAACAAAATTTAGAAGTTGCAATGCATTCATGAGTCACCTATGCAATGTCAATTGCAATTCAATTATAAGGGCCTGTCATGAAATGATGGCTCCCTATATATAAATACATTTGTGTACATACATGTGTATGTATTTATCATTCTGTTTGTAAATGTTTCAGTAACAAATAAGTTTGCCTTGACTGTTTTGAATAAATTTTATACAGTATTAAGCATCACTAGAAAAGCTTCAAAAATAACTTGTTAAGCCATTAATTTTAATTCTATGGTTTTAAATTAACGCATTTGAGCTCACCAATGAGCATAAATGTTAGGCCCGGTGTTTCTGCCGTGTTTTTGGGAAAAATCCCTGAGTCCTGCTTCATCAGTGGTCGACTCAATAAGTTGTATATTGGCGTGTTCTTTATGCTTTTTTGTTTTATTTCGTATGTTATATTGGAACATACACCGGTTGTCTGGATAAAATAGTAGTTGATTTTTATTTTTTTGCGAGCTCAGTATCATATTATAGATCCGAAATCAAACTCAAATTTCCACATTTTCAGATGCCAGCTTATCAATATGTTGTGGTTGAATTCCTAGATGAAGGGTCAGTAGAGGTTGTCCAAAAACATGGTTAGAGAGTGAAGAAAAGGTAAAATATGACTTGTCATATTTGTATGTATTTGAAATAAGCAAAATTGCTAAAAAAAATGTATGTCAATATACAATGTAGTCTATTATACATGTTTATGTGACGTGATAAGCCTGACCTAAATGCTGTAATTTTACTGAAACAAACCAAATATGTATACAATTTTACATGATCATGTACATTGTAACCTTAATCTGGGATAGTTAATGATCATAACTTAAAACATTAAAAATAGTAATAGGTCAAAGAGATTTAGGATCTCCATGAATTATTTTGATCACGCATAACATACACTTCATGGTAATTGTTTTCAACACTTTTTTATAGGGAATGTTCTGTTATTGGCCAAGAAAAAACAGTCAACAAAGTGCCAAGAAAGGGCAAATTCCTGATAAGAAATTCTGGAGGAGATATCGTATAAGGATATTCAGTTACACAGGTAAGACGTCGTTCATATTACCTATTTTAGTGAACTTAGGAACATTAGTAACGTGTAATCATGTTTTTGAGCAAACGTCATATTGTGATGTTGCTGAATTCACTGAGGTCATCTTTTGTTCTTACATGTAGCTGCATCTCAAATATGCAATGTAACTTAATAAGCTGTATGTGATCTAGGATTGCATTTTATTTTAATACTTTATAAAGTTTTCCAGTCCTTGTCTTTTATCATCAGGCACAGCCATCACTAAAATTATGAGATTTAAAAGTTCATTCAAGGATGTATTCACCACAGACTGTTCATAGCAGCTTTTAAAAAATCTGTATATGTGTTCATAATTTCCAAAAGGGCATTTACATTGAAATTTTGTTTTATCAGATGATTATGAGAAGGCACTTAAAAGGCGTCAAAGGGCCGTTGAGTCATCAAATGTGGACACCAATGATGAGGAAGTGCCACACGAAGAAACCAGGAGGGCAGTGAAGCAACCTCAACGATTGGGGCATGATTTTAGTGATCCAGAGGGTAAAGTAGACTGATTACTTATTCTATTGATAAATAATTTTCAAGAGTTTGTTGAAGAGGTTCTTCAAATATCTTTATCTTACATATAACACTGAATAGATTTTGTTGAATCAGTTGATATTAACAGTGAAATCATAAATTTTACTACATAATTTTATTTTTTTGTACATTGATTGCTTCATTATTAATGTTATGACATTGGAATGGTTGCACAACTTCTTCTTAAATAAATATCTTCAATTTCTACTTAGATAGATATCTTCAATTTGTGCTTAATAAATATCTTCAATTTCTACTTAAATAAATCTCTTCAATTTCTACTAAATTTTTAATAGTAAAAGAATATATTGTAGAGGAAGAAAACACACCTACAAGGCGAGATGGAGATAGAAGAAGAACTCCATCCCCACATCCTAGAAGAACTCCATCCCCACATCCTAGAAGAACTCCATCCCCACATCCTAGAAGAACTCCATCCCCACATCCTAGAAGAACTTCATCCCAACATCCTAGAAGAACTCCATCAACAAGTGCTAGAAGAACTCCATCCCCACATCCTAGAAGAACTCCACCAACAAGTGCTAGAAAAACTCCATCCCCACTTATTAGAAGAACTCCAACACTACCTACCTATAATCCTTGTAAGTATTGTACAAAAAGATATTTAACTTTCAGAACATATATGTAAGTCTCTGGGTAAATTCAAAATTAATTGATCAACTGATTCAATAATGGTTAGCATGCTTGCCTCGAGTGTGGTAGGTTGAGGGTTCGACCCTTAGCTGGGTAAAACCAAATTTGAAAATTAGTATTTGCTGTTTCTCCGCCAAACACCCAGCATTAAGGAGTTAGAGCAAAGACTGGTCAGCCCGGAGTCAGAATAATGTGTCTGGGGAAGGTAACATGTCTTCCAGTGAACTGTTACCTTGTGAGCTAGCACGTTAAAAATCCGTCTCAGCGTGTCGGTCTAGTACAAAGCAGGGTTAATATTCATTTCTCATTATCATGTTCTCGTCCTGAATATGCATTTGACTTGCCACTGGACATTAAACAACTATACATCCATCCTTATTGTCTAGATTAGCTGTGTCTTTTGGTATTTGATCTTGGTTTCCCTTGATTAAGTCAATGTTCATTTCAGCTTTATTCAGTCAATTGCATCAGTTTTATTTGTTGTGTTTTTATATAGATTTTACATTTCATTAGCTTCAGCTTATCATGGTAAAACTTCAAACAGACATAGGTCCAGGTCTCCATTAAGCAAACATAGGTCCAGGTCTCCATTAAGACCAGTCGAGAGTAGAAGAAGGTCATTGTCAACACCTGACAGTGGAAGGAGGATAAGCACAATCAGAGCAACACCAGAAGGTCCAGTAGTAAGAGAGCTAGAGAGAAGGCATAGGGTTTTTCCTGACTTTGAGGAGGACGTTAGCACACCACGAAGTAAGTAACATCATGGTTGCCTAATTTTCAAAAAAATGCAATAATTATAAAAATAGAAGTGTTTTCTGGATAATTTTTTACCAACCAAAAGGGCTAGCTAGATTTATTTGTGTCTCTAAATAATTTTTACTAAAATAATAGTGAGAATGATGCTTTCTCAATTCTGGAACTTGAAAAATAGAATTGGTATATGTGTTGTATTAAATTTTTTTTAAAAACAGTCCTTGTTTTTATGGCCCTACTGCTAGGATAAGTAACTGTTCATGAGTTATGTCCCTTTGTTAATTTATATGCTTGTGTCCCATTGATACATTCTCCATTTATGTTTTATAATGTGTAACTCATACAATCTGTTTGACAAAACTGATCTGAAGGGTATTGATCACAAAGGTTATTTCTTTCCATTCTATATTATTATAGGTTTTGAAGACAAAGTTACAATGGTGCTGGCTAGAATAGAGAGGACTCTTCTAGAACACTCTCAAATGTTGAGAAGACTAATCAGTGGCCAACCATCAACATCTGCTGATGGAGATTCAGATCTTGAAGATTTAATACCAAATCCTGTGAAAACAGAAGTTGAGCTGGCAGAGCTATCTGCCAGATTTCTGGAAGACAGTGATTTCCCCAAAAAACTGGTAAGACCACTCTTCTTATTACTGTGAACTTGTGCAGAATAATATCCAAGCTAAAAGTTTCATTGGTATTTCTGTTCTGTATTTGGTGAAAATCTGGGAAATACTTAACAATTATCTTGGAATAGGCAAATGTTTACTTTATTCTATTCTTTGTTAAATGAATGTTTTACACTTCCAATATCAAGGACATATTTCTATCTTTTCAATAAACTTTTATTACCGATAAGCTATATTATACTGATAAAGCTAAAAAAGAGTATTGATTTCAAGAAAAAGCAAAAAGAATATTTTTGAATATGATACTGGAGTGATTACCTTTTGATGATAATATATTTATGTTTTTTTTTTGTTGATGTTCACAAATCATTATGTTATTTCAGGTACGTGGTCTAGGAGCCGTAGGAGGTAGCAGTATTGGTGATACCCTGAGGAGAATAATGAGGCGTATAGGGAGCAACTCCCTGTGGTCTCTTTTCAGTTTGAAGAACAAAAAAAAAGTCCCTTAAGGCAGAGCCAGTCTACAAGATTATTACTAGTAGGTAGTTTTCATTACCTGTGTACAATTTTTCTGTTTTTAAGTTTGTCAATAGTTCTGTAATCATGCAAAAAAACTTTACATCAATATAATATCTTAATTCTTCTTAAAATAATGCCATTTACTACTAAGACTATTGGATTTGTTTTATTCTAGAGAGATATCCTATCTGACACACAATATACATCCCTATTACAGGATAATATATTTTTTTTTAAATTCAAGATTATTTGATAGTGCAAGTATGTCATGGTTATGTCTATTTGTTTTATATTGTTATATTTGTATTTATTTTAAGTTACTTCAGATTGGTAGGATTTAATATAAAACAAATTTAAAAACTAAAATACATTATTTTCATTACAGAGTCCTTTATTGTAGTACATATTAATGGGAAAGAATCTGAAATAGATGAGGCTCTGTCAGATTTCCTGAGACATGCACCACACCAAGCAGGTGGATTAAAGTACAATGTATGATATTATTTATCAATCTTTAAAAAGGTAAAAATCTCTCGATACTGCTGACACTTCAGTTATAAATTCTAATAGTTAATGTAAGGAATGAAATGGTATTTTTGATAGCTTTGAATAAATCATTTATTCAGATCAATGGTAAAACAAATCTTATATATATGGCAGTATCAACTGCTCAATTTTCTTAATGTAAATTATTTTTCAATCAATATGGCTAGACAGACAATTTAAAAAAAATATATGTGTATTTTCGGTCTTAACATTTTAACAAGCCTGGACCAATAGACTTCTGTTTTCTAAAAAATTGTGGATAATTATATAAATATGTTGGGTTTTTTTTTCAGAAACCTGCTCCAGCTGATAACATACCACCATCTCAAGTGACTACACACCAACAGCCCTTATAGGAGGAGACATTTTTTTTATCTAATATGTTTATATTTGAATGTATATAAAACTTAATATTCAATTACTACATTTTCATTAAATGCCAAAAATCCAAGACACAATTGATGAGTATTTCTGTCGAAAAGAGTTTTTCAAAATAATTTTGATAACGGTATTTTTTACTCCTGAAGTCAATGAAAGAAAAGGGGGGTAGTGTAGTTGCCAATAATACAATAATACAGTCCTTGTTTAAAAAACACAAATTTTGAGGTTAAGGAGGAGAAATGACCATATCTATATATAGTTAAAATTTGGTATTTAAAGCAGTATTTATCGAATTAAAACATTGGATCCATGATAATATTAGTCATATAATCTGCAATAATTTGCTTTTCTTACATTTTTGTAATTGAGGTGCTTGAAATACTACCCATTGGTGGAGTTGTTTTGTACATTTTGCTTGGGTTGTTGTCTCCTGGAGTTTGACACATTCCATGTCTGATTCTTTATTCTATGTACATGTAGCAGGATTTTTATTAAGGGAAAATTGAGAGGTATCATGATGTATAATATGCAGTATATTTTACAGAATGAATGAAAGATCTGGGCAGGTTATGTTTTACCAACATCCATATAACATATTAAGTATGTTACTGTTGAACGTTCTCACAACATCCAAGTAGGAACATTATCACAACCATCCTGGAACATTATTTTAACGTTCCAGAAACATTACTGCAGAACAATCTTACAACATCCCAGTAGAAACATTATTATAACCATCCTGAAACATTATTTTAATGTTCCAGAAACATTTTTCACAATGTTCCTGGAACCCAACTGGGAGTCCACACTTTTACATCCTAGGAACGTTATTTTATAACGTTCTCTGAACAAAATCAAAACATTACTGGAACATTGTAGGAATGTTTTTGTGTTTTATGGGATTTTATAAATGGCTGCCATCGATTCATAATCTGCATAAGGAGGTCTCTGAGTTAACATTTCTACTACTGTACAACCTAAACTCCTGAAAAATAAAAGGATTATAATGATAATTGGTATTAAATATATGCCCATCAGAAAATAAAAACTATACACCAATTTGGATTGTGTCCTTTGGATTTTCAAACTTGATTTTCTCTGCCATGCTCTCCCTTATTAAATTTATTGTCTATACAGTTATATACTCTTGTTTTAATGTGAATGGCAGTCTCTTTATAAATATTTCATCGTAATTCACCTTTGTTTGTCTTGGATTTACGATTCTGTGTTCCAAAACATGTTCAAAGAAAAATTGTACAGTGTTATTGCACATAAGGTGTTGTAAAATTATGAACAATCACGTCTATTTCGTTAGATTTGTCTTTACGGATTATAAATGATATCTTGAACGTCCGAAAAAAATATACTTATGTAAACAGGAATGAAATATTTGCCACTTGATATTAGCCACCAACAAAATCAACCAACCGACATAATATACTAACAGTATACTTTTCCTAGAAGAGAACTTCTCATACTTTTCATTATAAAGTACAAATGAAATCTGTCATGTCAGTCACAGTGTTGGATGATGTGGTGGAATAGTTTTATTATACAAACCATCCTGAACTACTGAGTTTAAATCATCACACCTCAGCAAGCACGACTAATTTATGCGCAGACCAACCCATCACACAATTGCCCAAAATGAATCAGTGACGTACCCATCCATATTCAGAAGTGGGAAATATAGGTACTGATACTGACTTTAGTGACAGTTTTATATTACGAATAGGGAGATGAAATGCTGGCACTCTAATTTAAAGCGGACAAGATTGTGTAGTCATTGTTGTCCAATATTTCTGTCATATGTCAGTATGTATTTAATTTTAAGCCATCCTAACATCAAAATATTATTGCAATATAATGCGGCTATATATATTTACATAATAAAGTGCAAATAAGTTCAGTTTTGTTTGATTCTGTTGAATAATTTTGTTATACGAGTCAGCCTGAGGTATTAAAA